CAAGGGCATATACCTTGGTTGCGGGCACATCCCCAGTGGGGGGTGTGCAAGAGGTAGCTAATTGATGATTCTCTCTACCCTTCTCTCTTCCTCTCTGTAAAAAATCAATAAAATATATTTTAAAAAATAAAAATAGAGCTACCATATGATGCAGAAATTCCATTTCTCATTATATTAAATTCCATTTCTGGGTATATATCTGAAGAAAACCAAAACTTTAGTTCAAAAGATATACATCCCCCATGTGCATTACAACATTATTCACAATAGCCAAGATATGGAAGCAACCTAAGAGTCCACAGATAGACAAATGTATAATGAATTATTATTCAGTCATGAAAAAAGAATGAATTCTTGCCATTTTCAACACCTGGATGAAGAGGGTATTATTCCAAGTGAAATAAGTCAGAGAGAGAGAAAGACAAATACCATGTGATTTCACTTACATGGAATCTAAAAAACAAAATTAATGAACAAAACAACAAAGAAACAAACCCAAAGATACAGTGAACAAATTGATGGTTGTCAGATGGGAGGTAGCGAAGGTAAAGGATTTAAGAAGTACAAATTGGCAGTCCTAGAAGTAGTCACAGGTATGTAAAGTACAGCTTAGGAAATATAGTCAGAAAATTGTAATAACTACATATGATGTCAGATAGGTACTAGACTTCTCACGGTAATCACTTCATAAGTTACATAAATATCTAGTCACTATGCTATACCCCTGAACCTAATATAATATTGTATGCCAACTGTAATTGAGCAATTAAAAAAAAGTTTTTAAGGAGTCAACATCATTTGCACTCCCTGTTCAAAGCAAATCCTTTGCCTCACAAACCACAATTTCATGCCCCAGCTCCCTCTGTAAGGAGCTCATTCCAGGCAAACATGAAGTCACTTTCAGACTGAGCACAGTTTTCCCCTGCCACTCCCCTGACTCATCCCAAGTTCTGTTGTGAACAGCGATGTGGCGCCAGACCTGCATGAATACATTCAGTTACTGGACATCCAAACAAATGTTTTGACTAAACACCTACTCCTTAAAAAAGAAATAAATGATTAGTTCAGTAGAGATTTATCATGAAGGTTTTCAATATTCTTTTAAATTTCCTAAATCAGTATCATTTTCTTAAAATTTGCAAATATAAAGTGCATGCTATAATTGCTTAATTAATATTTTCTATATAAGAAACTCAAAATATATGGTAGTATTTGACTACATTTTTATTTTAATATCTGTGATATCCCCTGAATTCAGAAAGTAAGTCTAGGTAAAGTTCTAAACTGCAGAATATTTTGATATTTTGAAATATTTGATATGTTGAAAAACCAAGTTAGTAAAAAATTCATGGAGTGATGTATTATAATTTCAAAACATTTATGTTACAAGTAACCAATGTCTCCAATGACTCCTAAACTTCACTAATGTAATTCAGAACCTTTTTGGAATAAAACAATATATTGTAAAAAAAAAAAAAAAGACCTTTGCTAAGTGCTCCAGGAAACACTAAGATGGAAGAGAAAGAGCATGCATCCTGGGGGAAAGTGCTGTCTGCAAAAACCAGAGGACAATACTTCACATCCTTGAAAAAAATTATTAAAACAAAAAGTAAAGTTTTAAAAGCTATTAAAGTATTTAAATAATTGGCTGAATAAATTATTTTCCCTTTTATTTATTTCAAAGAAAAATTGAGCATTAGAGTGGGGAAATACTTATGTTTGTGAAGGTGGTCATTGAAAGATTGAATCATCAACATTAAAATAGGTAAAAACACTTCATATCAGGAGATAGTTTCAGTATTTTATGATGAATCTAGTCAGTGTAATATTACTCATCCTTTAAAGTGCAGCCATTAAAATAGTTAATACTTGATGAATTTAAATTTGAAAGTTTTCTGTAAGTTTGAAATTATATCAAAACAAAAAGTTATAATATACTTTTTATGTAGCTATTGGATATATATATATATAATAATATATCCTACATAATAAAGATGTAATATGCAAATAGTTATTACATTATGAAGCGTAACTACCGATCGAGTAACAACCAGATCATGGATCAGCAGGAAGGTGGGGCAGCAGCAAGCTACAAGTGAGTGGCAGAGAGTTATGAGGGAGGAGCAGGGGGAGGAGGGCCAGAAGAGCTAGAGGAGGGTGAGGCATCAGGTGGAGAGCTACCAGAGGGCAGCAAAGAGCTACTGGCGCACAGATTTGTGTTCAGGGCTACTAGTATATATTGTATAATATATTTACATAGCTACTAGAAATAAAAAAATTAGTAATATAGGGATATGTTTATGAAATAACACTAAATATAAAAGCATAATACAAAGTTATATATTTTTAAATATATTTTATTGATTTTTTACAGAGAGGAAGAGAGAGGGATAGAGAGTTAGAAATATCGATGAGAGAGAATCATCCATCAGCTGCCTCTTGCACACCCCCTACTGGGGATGTGTTTGCAACCAAGGTACATGCCCTTGACCAGAATCGAACCTGAGATCTTTCAGTCTGCAAGCCGATGCTCTATCCACTGAACCAAATCGGTTTTGGCCCAAAGTTATATATTTTTATATAACGGTGTGAAAAATACCTGAACATGTGAAAAAAACTTAAAGGTCAACATGTGAAATGAATATGGTTTGTTTAGTTAACTTTGTTCAAAAGTTTTAAAAATAATCTTTCATTGTTTTACTTAAAAAAAAATCAGAATATCTGGAATGAAAGTATATAAAGGAAAACAAGGCAGTCTGGAGTGAATTTATTGGTTAGCAGTTATCAGTAACTTATAAGGTAAAATCATAGGGCTTTAGACTTGGAAACATCCTCTAAGGCAACCTGATTCAGATTCTCGTTTCTTATTAGAAAAATGAGACTCAGAGAAATAAGTGACTTTTCCTCCTTAGTTTCCCATTAGTTGGCGAAAAAGCCGAGAATAGAATTCAATCAATATTTAAGACCTAATCTAATTCTATTATACATTCCAATTCTTTAGCATTCATTGTTTCTCACAAAGTAACCTGAGCATAACCTTCCAAATTTATCTCCTACTTATTTTCAACACACTAAACAGAAATGTTTTTTCTCACTTCCACATTATTCTAGCCTCCATGTTTTCTTGGTCATAGTCCCTGCCTGCAAACATCTCCCAACACTCCATCCTTACTCTAACCCCACACACACTCGTACTATGCTCCATTGCCCATTCATCTACTAGAAGTAATTAGTTAGAATACTTTTTCAAAAGACATACTTAAAAAAAGACAAAGTGAATTTTAGTTTAAGCTATTCGACTTGATTATTATACAACTTTGTACACCTACTCAATTACTTCTCTGAATCTCTGTTTCATATGTGAATGAGAAAAACAGTTTTTTCTCTCAGAAAGGAGAATGCATTGACATATGGAAAGTATTCTCTGATAGTCCTTGGCATACTGTGGCAAAGAATAAGCTCTATGCCGAAGCCAGTTTGGCTCAATGGTGGAGCGTCGGTGTGTGGACTGAAAGGTCCCAGGTTTGATTCTGGTCAAGGGCATGTACATTGGTTGCGGGCACATCCCCGGTAGGGGGTGTGCAGGAGGCAGCTGGTCAATGTTTCTCTCTCATCGACGTTTCTAGCTCTCTATCCCTCTCTCCTCCTCTCTGTAAAAAATTAATAAAATATAAGCTCTATGACAATATCACACAGGCAAGAGGTGTTACATCTTCTTTATTTTTTTAAATATATTTTTTATTAAATTATTATTTTTGTACATATACTAATGCCTCCCCCTCCTATACATATCCTCCCTCCCCAGAGTTTTGTGTCCATTGGTTGTACTTATATACATGTATACAAGTCCTTCGGTTGATCTCTTATATCCCCCAGATCTCCCCAACCTCCCCACTGTAATTTGACAGTCTGCTTGTTGCTTTACTGTCTCTATATCTATCTTTTGGTTCTTCAGTTTATAATGTTCTTTATCATCCATAAATAAGTGAGATCATGTGGTGTCTCTCTTTCATTGACTGGCTTGTTTCACTCAGCATGATGTTCTCCAATTCCATCCAGGTTGCTGCAAACAATGAGAATTTTTTTCTTTTTTATGGCAGCATAATATTCCATTGTGTAAATGTACCATAGTTTTTGGATCCAATAATCTGCTGATGAGCACCTAGGCTGTTTCCAAATCCTAGCTATTGTAAAATTTGCTGCTATGAACATAGGGGTGCATATATCCTTTCTGATTGATGTTTCTAGCTTCTTGGGATATATTCCTAGGAGTGGGATTACTGGGTCAAATGGGAGTTCCATTTTCAGTTTTTTGAGGAAGCTCCATACTGTTCTCCACAGTGGTTGCACCAGTCTGCATTCTCACCAGCAGTGCACGAGGGTTCCTTTTTCTCCGCAACCTCCCCAACACTTGTCGTTTGTTGATTTGTTGATGTTGGCCATTCTGACAGGTGTGAGATGGTACCGCATTGTTGTTTTGATTTGCATTTCTCTGATAATTAGTGACTTTGAGCATGTTTTCATGTGCCTCTTGGCCTTCCTTCTGTCTTCTTTTGAGAAGATTCTATTTAGATCCATTGCCCATTTTTTAATTGGGTCATTTATCTTCCTTTTATTAAGTTGTATAAGCTATTTGTAGATGTTGGAAATTAAACCTTTATCAGTGATAACATTTGCAAATATGTTCTCCCATACAGAGGGCTTTCTTGTTGTTTTGTTGATGGTTTCCTTTGCTGTTACATCTTCTTTAAATGAAAAGCAAAAACTCTACAGTATGTGGAGTCATTGTAGGCTTCCACAAAATATCTGTCACCTCTCATGGTGTTGAATCACAATTTAACCAGGAGAAACAAAATTCTTCCTGGTTTGTAAAATGCCCTGTCTATTTCTGATTCTGTTCCACAGTCATACTGTTGGTTCAAGTTGATTCCTTCAGACTTGTCTAACAAGTTAGGTATTAATCACATGGGATTTCCTCCTTTGACTTCAGCACCTTCATAGATCATACACAATACATGACAATCATTCATTTGAGCGAAAACCTCAGAGCAGCAGGAAGAAAGACCTCTTCATTGCACAGCATTAAAATGTATAGGTATGTCCTGTTTCTGACTCCATAGTTTTAGAAGTTTTACTATACTTAGAGCATGTGAAAAATATACAGAAGCTTAAAATTTTGGTTTGTGTCTAGCAAGCTTCTAGTTACATTTTTTGAAACTTGATCAACACTCCTAGATATTTTAAGATAATGTGCTTGATATTGTTTAAATAAGGTTCTTGGCTACTTGACTACATTCTTTTATGAAGTGAAAAAAACTAAAGAGATGGCTTGGCATTATGACAGCATATCTTTAAATAAGGAAGTGTTTTTGTTTTCTCATGTTCAATTTTTCAAAAAGTCCTGTGTGAACATTAAATGAAATCCGTAAAAAAAAAAATCTGTTGTTTTAATTTTTTTTAGGATTCTGTATTTTTACTCCTTAGTAGCTATTAAATATGTCATTAGTAGCTATTAAATATGCAATAAATCCTGAAGTTTTCTTTAAGAAAGTAAAGACATTATTTGTCTACTTTTTATATATTTATGGTATCATTATTTTCAGATAAGTTCTTATTGAAACTTAAGAAAAAAATTGTATTTATCTAGTTTTGTTTTCAATTAATAAACATTTCTTTTTATACACTTTCACATAAAAAACAAGTTGTAGCCTAATCTAGTCAAACAGTACAGTAAAAATCATTATATAATTTGATGTTTTTGGTGTGTGCATCTATGAGTTTACAAATTGTTTCTTTTGTTTTGTCATGACAAAGAAAAATATGATATGGATGTGATTTTAAAAGGGGGATAAATCAAAGCATGAATAGCATGTTGGCTATGTTAAGTATAGTTGAGTTTATTTTAAATGTCTCAAACGTTCGAAACTCAATCAAAATAAAAATTAAATTATATGCTCAGGGGATTATGAAGTATACCAGTAAACTACCAGTCATAGAAGTAGTCATGGGCATAAAGTACAGCATAAGGAATATAGTCAATAATATTGTAATAACTATATATGGTGCTAAGTGGGTACTAGATTTATAAGGTATGGCAATGTCTAATCATTATGTTGTATACCTGAAACTAATATAATATTGTATGTGAACTATAATTGAAAATAAATTTTTAAAAAATAAATTAAAAATATATGTACAATAGTGTGCATTTAAATATCTATACAAAAGAGTGAAAATTGGTAGCCTAAGTTTGCACCAATAAACAATAATTAATAATTACCAATAACAATGACTGGGAAATAATTCCTTCTGTCAAGATGAATAAAGAGCAGAATTTTCACTGGGCAGGGGAGAGTATATTCAAATGGCTTAAGGTGTTAAAAAAAAATAGATGTGTTTTTGTCCTGATAATCTTACTTCTAAGCCAGTACATCCGCATGAGTTTAATATTGCAAGGAATGAATTAAAATATAAAATTTTCTTCTCTGCTGAAATATTCCAGTCAGCATAAAGAAACACAATTTTTAAAAATATTCCAAATTCCACTATTTCACAATTCCTCCATATGTTCTGAGAAAGCAGGATATTCAAATAATAAGAGAGAAGTGAAATGAAAACAAATAAATATATTTTTTTAGATAATTCTAGATCATTTTAAAGTAGTTTTAGCTAAATTTCCAAGTAATTCTGAGATACCTTTGGTTGCGAATAGGCTCTCTTGGATGATTTGATTACTTTTATGAATAAATTAAACTGTCACACCTCTTCCAGGCTGTCCTCTCCTAAAGACTATAGAGATAGTGTGTTTCTTTTTCCCACCTGTGCTTTCCTTCTCCAAAAAAAGAAAATCTTATTACAAGGCCCAGGAACTTGGGTAGCTGTATTATCATGATATAATCATCATTCCTTTCAAATCTCTGGATATTCCAGATGTCTCGGGTCCGTTAAGGGAGTGTCTATATCCACTGAATTACAGTAAAAGTGTGAGATGATGTTTGGACAATAGGATGAAGATTTGGGGTAAATGGGCATATCTCAGGTTAGGAACAAAGAAATCTTAGTGAGACTCCTCCCACCATAACACATCTTATTTCCTTTTCCTTCTCTTTGTTTGTGCTCATAATACAATTAACTGACTACACAGACATGCCAAAGACAGTCAGTCAGGTGCCCTGCCTCCTAACAGCCCAAGACAACACAAGGCAAGGGGGGAGATGGTTATCTATCAAAAGCCGAAACCAGTTTGGCTCAGTAGATAGACCCTTGGCCTGCGAACTGAAAGGTCCCAGGTTCGATTCCAGTCAAGGGCATGTATCTTGGTTGCAGGCACATCACCAGTAGGGGGTGTGCAAGAGGCAGCTTATCAATGATTCTCTCGAATCGATGTTTCTAACTCTCTATCCCTCTCTCTTCCTCTCTGTAAAAAGTCAATAAAATATATATTTTTTAAATGCATTTCAAACTCAATTCTGGTTTATAATTGTCTATCTTAACTTTAAAAAACCATGCTCAACATTGCAAATAATTAGGCAAAAGATATATATCTTAATAGAAATGAGGCAAGTGTATTTAAGTAGTGCATATAAAGTATAAATTTTTGCCCACAAAATCCTCAAGGCTACATACCAAAACAGTTGCTGAATTTGGCCAGAATGTTTTACTACTGGTGGTGATAAAAAATTTAAAAAACTTATATTATTTTTGCTTAACAAATTTTTTACTAATAAGGGAGCGGTGATAGAGTTATATAATACATAGGATGGTCAGCTGCAATTAGTCACTTAGGATAATACATTTTCTAGCAAATTCTCTCATCTCCACTATCAATTTGTCTTCCAGAATACACTCCCAAGCTATTTTCTCAGAGATTTGTTACTTACCATACTCTTATACCATTCCAGCTCCTGAAATGGCTAGGGTTGACACCCCTAAAATAAAACATGAGGACAAGAATTAATATCTACTGTTTTAATGAAACCTGAAGCTATCCAATCCAATTCCTTAAAAGGTGTTACTCCAACTAGGAGGATCTCTTTCTCTTGAGGGGAAAAAAAAAAGCACCACAAAACTTGCCATTATTTAAGTTTTTCAAAGTATTCTTTTTAAAAATATATATTTTATTGATTTTTTTACAGAGAGGAAGGGAAAGAGATAGAGAGTTAGAAACATCGATTCGAGAGAAACATCAATCAGCTATCTCTTGCAGCATCCCCTACTGGGGATGTGCCCACAACCAAGGTACATGCCCTTGTCTGGAATCGAACCTAGGACCCTTCAGACCACAGGCTGACACTCTATCCACTGAGAAATACTGGGTAGGGCCAAATTATTCTTTAAATCTAAATTTAGCGTGTATGCATTATACGTAAAATAAAAGCACCATTCCAAACGTAAGACCATTGAGTGAGTAACTTCAATGACTCAATATTGAAGACTGCTGACTGACTGATCAGGGTGGTTGAAGGCTGGGTGGCTGTGACAATTTCTTAAAAGAAGACAAGAGTGAATTCTGCTGAATTGATTGACTCTTCCTTTTAGGAATGATTTTTCTATGACACAGGATGCTCTCTGATAGTATTTTACTGACAGTAAAACTTCTTTCAAACTTGGAGTCAGTCGTTTAAAATCCTGCTACTACTTTTTCAACTAAGTTTATGTAATATTCTAAATCCTGTGTTGTCATTTCAATAATCTTTTTAGCATCAGAATTAGTTCCATCTCAAGAAACCACTTTTTCCAACTCCTCATTCAGGAAAGCTTTATCATGAGATTACAGCAATTCAGGCACATTGTCAGACTTGGTTTCCTATTCTAGTTCTCTTGCTATTTCCACTACATCTGCAGTAACTTCTTTCTTAAAGCCCTGAACTCCTCAAAGTCATCCATGAGACTTGGAATCAACTTCTTCCAAAAGTCCAGGCAAGTGATTTTGCCTCATGTCAAACAAACAACTTTTCTGATCACCTCAATAATTTTAACCACAATATCCATTATAAGATATATATCTGCCTTTTTTTTTTTTTTTAGCTCTAAGGAATAGATTCTACTGTGTAGGTCTCAAAAAAAATAAGTATTATAGATCTTGAAACTCTGCTCATTTTTCTATGACACGAGATCATCCTGGACAATGGATACTGAGAAACTCAACTCTGCTTTTGTAAGCGATCTGGGCAGAAATCCAGGAGGATTAAATTCAGAAGAGGTTGAATACAAGATGTTGTTTTAAAAACTATATTGATGCAACTAAATATTACTCAAGAGTACTTAAGAGAGCTAACCTTGGGTTTGGTCCATGATTCATTAACAGCCGCTTTTTTTCCATAAGAACAACATCATTTACTAGATACAGGTAAATATTGTAGAACTAACCATGATGAATATATATGGGATTCTGAATCTAGTCTTCATTCCTCTAGCTGCACAGAGAATAGTTCCAAGAAATTTCTGGATTGTCTATCATGTCGTTCCTGTTAACTTATCCCATCTCGTTTGTGAGGAAATGTTTTTCTTATTTTAAATCCTTTACTAATAGATTTTTACTTCTTTAACTTGTGCATTTAATTATGTGGGGGTTTTTTTATACCCCATCATGCATAATGCCTCCTTTCCTGTCCCCCTGCTCCCCTACCTAAGTAAACAATGTTAAAAACTATTATATATCCTTTTATACAAATTAAGCAGGATCGTTTCCTTGGCAGTTGTTAGAATCTTTTTTACATTTGAGTCTTTATGTCACAGTCAAATCAAACATTGGAAGATGAACACATTTTTTGGGGAAAATAATGCTGCCTGTGCTCTCTGGCATGTGATATACCGAATTCCCCACCTCACTGGCACACACTTTGTAGAGCCAATGAATGACATATCCTGACACTTGAAGTTTAGTATTACAAATCAGGTCACATTGAGCTGAGAGAAGGGACCCCTAAATCTGTTACTCACTTATTTTCTATAGAAAGCAAACGTATCTAGTTCTGTCTGATGGTCAATATATTTTGACAAAGTGATAAGTTAAGGTTGTGAACATTTCATACTGATCTTATAATAGACATGGATTGTTTATGTACTTGGATTTTTAGAAAGCAGAGAAATCAG